AACTATGCCATAAGCGTTGGCTGCAGTTTTCTGTCAGTAGACGTTAAAGAGGGTACTTCACATTTGCCTTGTGTTTCCAGTGGATAAGTGATTTTAAAAAGTTCAACACATTAGAAGCCCATAATCGGTTTTTTCAGAGTTTCAAATGATACCTCGGACTTTCCGCGGTTTATGAATAGAATTTTTCGAGTTCCGATACAATTCTTATGACCTCGTATGCAGGATGAGAGTTCGTACCACTTCAGGTGCAGATGTACTTAATTATAGACTGCAAAACAGATGCGCCATCAATCACAGTTGTGCCAAAGGATCTAAGGCAGTAAGGAATAGGCAGGTTAAATTTGGTGGTCTGTGCTGAACTGATTTGATGGCTGTCCTGCGTGTTAAGACTTATGCCAAGCGATTACTCCTCCAGTGCTGCAATCCCCGACTTAAGGAAACGATGCTGGAACGATTCACTGTTCTCACTTTAACTATAGGCTGGGCTGACACAAGTGGAGGGCAGACAGTCTTTTGAATCCGATCCAACGGCACAGAATCTCGATCTTCCAGCCTCACTAAAAAAATGTCGTTTAACACAAAGTAATGAAATCAAAATCAGAAGGTATGGGAAGGCAATCAAAACAGCACAGTCTTATAGCTATGACCACAGGCGTCCGATGGCGGCCTTTTGTTTAAACCGTCTTTGATAGAGTTTTAACTTACTTCGGCTACTTAAATGAACAAGCAAATAACATCCTGTATTTACGCTAGCTCATCCTTCGAAAACCGGTGCCTGCGTAGTTGCGCACAGAGAACTGGTCATGACATTTTCGGCTAGAAACCTCACGTGCTTCCAATGTAACACAATGTACTACGACAGGGGTCAAGTGTCAGCACGGCCCGTTGACCAGTCCTACAGACAGAAAAGCATAACCAAAACTTGATCGTTCGAGGGTGGTACACTCCCTCCTGTCGCTGTACACACACAGACGCACACACACGGACGGCAGGCCATGAGTTCGACTTTGGGGACATCAGGATAATTGGTCGAGGTGCCACATATCCAGAGCTGCTCTGATATGCGGCCGAAATCGCAATAACTAGCATACTGATCTGCCCTGCGCGAAGATCTTACCGTCAGGTTGCATGACCCTGTTTCCGAACAAGGACACATTGATCACTATCGCGACACACATCAGTTACAAGTGGGCTCCTTCAGAAGTCCGGAAGTCCAGTCAAGTCGTGTGAGCGTTCTGGCGATCGGTGCGTAGCTATTGTCATCATTTCAATAGGTTCGGACCTCGGAAACGTATGCTAACACCGCTGTTCATAAAGAATAGTTAGTTTGATGGCCACAGTCGAGCGGACCTCGAATTGAAATGATCAGTGAATACGGTGTGTCCGGTTTGGTTATATAACCAGTAGCAACGTCAAACCTCGACGGAGTAGGGAGCAAGCATGCCATTTTGGGGACACATTTCGTATGCATCTGTCGCCATTCCCAACCAGAAATATGGAATATTTATATTTTGGATTGACTACAATTAAAACCATTATAACCTGGTAAACACGGGATACTCCAAGGCCGTGTTTACTGTAATTTAGAGGATTTTCCTCTCTTAGTTGACAACCGAATACCACATTAAAAAGCAGAAGTTTTTTTTACAGAATAAGTTGGCAAGATCTCATTTCGTAGCCGTACCTGTTAGGGGTTAAGGTTTGGGGTTGGGACTAGGAGTTAGGGGTTAGAGGTTAGGGGTCAGGCTGGGGCTTGTCTACTGAAGGTACGGCTACGAAATGAGATTCGACCTGTAAATTAAATGGCGCCTATCCTACAAGCATATCGAAAACACGAATGGAAGAGAATATGCGCATCCCAGGTTCTTGTTTAAAAGAAGGCGAAGGCACGATCACTGGGACAGTAGATTTATTTGCCTGAGCTATCGAACTCGAACTGGAGTTCATCATCAGAGGCTACTCGAGTGCAGCAGTGTCAACATTTATATCGCTCGTCCCTGTGGGGGGGGGAGGGTGGACTACCAAAAATCCACAAACCCAACGTTCCTCTGCGGCCAATCGTTGCCCTGAAAGGCATCCCCACATGCAATTTAGCCAAATGGATGTCCCGAAAGATCAATTTTCTCCGAGAGGGCTCTGTGACGTCCGTCAATTCGGCCTCCTAATTCCTTGCCGACATATGGGGAAAAACTATTCGACCCGACCAAATCATGATATCCTTCGATGTTGTCTCACTTTTCACGCCCATCCCACCAGACTTGGCGCGCGACGTGCTACGCAAACGCCTCGAAGAAAAGTACGACGAAACGACAGGGCCGCTAAAGATTCAGCACCTAATGCAGCTCTTTGCATTCTGCCAACGAACCTTTTTCACTTTCGATGGCAGAACATACGAACAAATCAAAGGAAAACCCCTTGGGTTCCCCAATATCCAGCATAGTTGCGGTATTGGTCCTACAAGAACTGGAAAAGGTCGCTTTGAGCCATTACAAACCGGCGTTTTGGCGCCGATACGTGGAAGATACATTCGTCATTATTGAAAAGGACAAGCTATCGGGTTTTCAAGACTTACTTAACAGCACATTCCCCGACATTCAGTTTGCAGGAGAAGACGAGGAGGACGAGAAACTACCCTTCCTGGATGTGCTAGTCACGCGCACACCTGACGGTGGACTCAGCACTACAGTGTACAGAAAGGCGACCAATACAACCCAGGTCCTCAACTATCATAGCAACCACCCATTGGTGCACAAACGGGACTGTGTGAGGGCGCTTTTCGACCGGGTAAAAACGCACTGTAGCGAGTCCGAAGGAAGGATGCAAGAACTACGGCATCTCCGAGACCAATTAACAAAGAGCGGCTACCCAAATAGTTTCATCAACCCCTGCGTAAGCACGCACCCACGACGGACAAACGGAAGAGAGACAACAACAATTTGGCACTCCCTACCGTACATAAAGAATGTGTCCGAGGCTACAGTACGCATTGCGTCAGAGCTAGGCGTGGGCATCGCTCATCATCCGGCGGCCACCATGCGTAGCAGGATCATGAAAATGAAGGTTCAGCTGGACGCAGGTGAACAGTTGGGCGTAGTCTATCGAATCCCGTGCCAAAACTGTCCTTGCCATTACACAGGCCAGACAGGACGACGTCTCAGCTCACGAATACTTGAGCATAAACGGGCCGTTCGGAGAGGCGACCCACCATCTCAAGTAGCCACTAACACGCTGGAGGAAGGCCATGAGGTCGACTTCGCCAACTTACGGATATTGGCGCGAGCCGGCAACAAGACGGGGCGAGAGCTGTTGGAGGCGTGGGTGGCGTCGGACACCAACTCTATCAACAGGCACGTCGATTTGCCGGCGTGTTATCACGCGCTCCGCCCACGCAGCCAGGTGGCGCAATTCACACCGTCGCGAAGTACAAACGGCGTCACCAGGCCTGGAGACCATCGTGGACCAGGCGGCACAAACCCTACCTAGCCACGGACGTACTCCCTCTCCCCCCCCCGCAAGAACGAGCGATATAAATGTTCACAATTTGCAGCAGTCAAGTAGTCTCTGATGGTGAACTCCAGTTCGAGTTCGAAAGCTCAGGCCAATAAATCTACTGTTCCAGTGATCGTGCCTTCGCCTTCTTTTAAATATCGAAAACAATCAAAGGAGCTATCGTGTTTTCGGAAGTGGGATAAACACCAAATGCAGATTGGAGAATGCGAAGCACCCAGTTGACACAATGCCGGCAGGATTTTGACTCTGTCCGATGCATGCTATCTAGTACTCCTGCTAGGATGTCGATCTGACAGTTCGATCGCCGTTGTCGACGATGTCCACTGTGTGCTCCACAGCGACGCGAGAGCAGGCACAGTGAAATGCGCGTTAATTAATTTATAGTGAAAGCGGACTTGCGCAGCATCCACTGCACTCTCATCTCCCCACTTGTGTGCGCTGTCAAGACATATTCAAGAAGAACGGAGGAAGGGGGAGGGCGCAGGCGGCAGGCACGGACGGACGGACCTGCACCTAGGCGTACCTCCACATCCCCTGGTTCTCAACAAACACTGCGCCAAGATTGTGACCGACAGGGAAATAGACAGGTCAGAAAGAAGAGGATGACTGGGCAGCCATGCACACGACCTGTATGACTAGTGGGGACGCAAGCTCATCCACCAGCAGGGAACCAGGTGTCAGAGAACTTTCAACGCACACCATGCTGCGAGGGCCACGGTTTGCTGAATAATGGCATAGCAGATGCGTGCAAACTTAAGGCCCATAAGGGTGAGATGCAGCCCTGTGCTTAGTATGGGCCATCACCCTTCATTGCCCAGGTAACCAGTCAGCCATCGACTGAGAGCCACTCCCCATATACACCCGCTTTCCTCGCGTGCATAAGAGTGCCAAAAACATGGATCTTGACAGCTCGAGTCTAGCTGATGGACTGAGTGCAAGTTCTAAACCCTTATGTACGCGCGTGCGCCTTGGTCCCCTCCACAGGATCCACCAACTAGTCCGACTGTACGGACAACGCTCTAGCCACTTGAGTTTTAGGGCCTCGACCGGGAACCGTGAGTTCAAGCTCATTTGGGTCAAGTTACCTGGCCAACCTCCTTCAAAAAAATCGTTTGCGTTTAATCGTAGAAAGTGAAATGTTCGCTTGTCGGTCACCTTCGAACAGAATCATCCTCGCGAGGTGATTAACAACGAAAAGGAAAGGGCGGACCAGTACCTATCTTGAAAGTCCTCCTCTACCACAATCAAAATTATCACCGAGGAAGCTCTTTACTGCGTTCAAATTTGTAGGATAAGACAGGCTTCAGAGATGTTAGTACTGCAAATGCTCGTGGATACCCATTGTTCCTAAAGAACTTTCGGAGGTTGTCATGCTACGGTGAATTTCCACTCGCTATATTTTCCGTTCTCAAAGGTGGTGAATTCATCCGTCACCCATGACTCAGCCCCTCGGCTTGGAGAGGCCTCGACGCAGATCGGTGTTTTATCCCTCACTGATTGGTCATGGCTGGACATGAGTCCAGTGCACTCCTGAACTTCGAGCTGGCACAGTAATAATGGCTGGTTGGGGCCTGATGAACTTTTTCTGCCGTCGGCCTCGGAGCTGCCTCGGAGCCCCCTGTGATAGTATTGGCAGCAGCAGCAGCAGCAGCAGCAGCAGCAGCAGCAGCAGCAGCAGCAGCAGCAGCAGCAGCAGCAGCAGCAGCAGCAGCAGCAGCAGCAGCAGCAGCAGCAGCAGCAGCAGCAGCAGCAGCAGCAGCAGCAGCAGCAGCAGCAGCAGCAGCAGCAGCAACAGCAGCAGCAGCAGCAGCAGTAGTGGTGGTGGTGGTGGTAGTAGTAGTAGTAGTAGTAGTAGTAGTAGTAGTAGTAGTAGTAGTAGTAGTAGTAGTAGTAGTAGTAGTAGTAGTAGTAGAAACAGCAGCAACAAACGCTGTCCTATTCATTCTGCCTCTCTGACTTTCGTTTTGGAAGACTCCACGTTGACGGCGATCGCGCCTGCCCACGCATTATACCAAACTATGTTCCCATAGCAGAGAATGACTGCTTTGGCAGGGTAGCCCATGCGAGATTGTATTGATTTGTGCGGTCTCCTTATTTTGAACACAGGCTCGTTCCTGACGATATGATTAATCTAGATAGAAGACGCCACATCGAGCGTAGTCAATGGCACGGCGGATATGGAGGAAGTAGAATGCGTCGGGAGGACCGCAACCCGTAACAGAGAACGTTGTATTATGATAAATGTGTTTTCGAAATACGTCTCGCTGGCACAATCGTGGACTATGTGGTCCCTTAACCGACACCAAAATATAAACTGCTCACATGCGTGACTTAGAAAAATCTGTAGTTCTCCGAGCGCGTGCCCTCGCGCTGCCTAAATATAACCTATTTAGGGAAATTCTAAGCCGACTGCAGTTTTTTAAATGCCGCCGGGTGCGACGGCGGTGAACGCTCAGTTCAGAAGAAGAATAAGAAGAAGAAGAAGAAGAAGAAGAAGAAGAAGAAGAAGAAGAAGAAGAAGAAGAAGAAAAGATGATGATGATGATGATGATGATGATGATGATGATGATGATGATGATGATGATGATGATGATGATGATGATGATGATGATGATGATGATGATGATGATGATGATGATGATGATGATGATGATGATGATGATGATGATGATGATGCCTGTACTTCAGGCTCAGACCTTATTATAAAAAGATGGGCAAACCTTCAGCCCTAACTCATGAGTAGAGTTAGTAAGCTGTTCTTTTTTATGAAGTAGACGTCCAGATGGCATCGCTGCTCCACTCCAGCTACGGAAGGCGTAAGCGACACAAGAAAAATTGCAGAGTCCACAACACCAGCGCATTTTATGAACAAGGGAATTTCACTTCCAACTATGAACGTGTGTCGTTTGACCGACCAAGGAAAATACTCACACAGAGTTAAAAGACGCAAAAGGAAACTAGTAAATTTGGTTGTTTTCACGAAATAACTGTGGTATTTTGTTTACGTTTATAAAGTTTATATCCACTCGGCGGTGCATCGACTAAATAAGGCTGATTGTCTTTCACTCCTGCAAAAAAATTGTGAGAGGATGCGTGGTAAGCACAGCTGGGGAAGGGTTTATACTACGGGCGTGGAGAAGTTTATTTCTGACCGCCCGTCTAACCTTCCGTGTGTACATGCGTATGTATAAATATCATCGTCCCAAACAGCGCACGACTAGCAGCTTAATTCTTGGTATCATAAGCTTTCATTTTTACCTAGCCACACTAGTCCAACCGCACTTTGCTTTATTTTTAGGGCAGGATCGGAAGCTGTCTGGACTATTCTTGTGGCAGTCCGTCTGCGTGGTCGCCGGGGCGACCGCTTAGTCAAACCGCCTTCGGTCCGCCTCATGCTTCCTGTCAATAGACGACATGAGCTCGCGCTTCGCACCAGGGGCTAACAAACCCAACGGCTGGTACTTGTCTGCTGAGAACATTTGCTGCCGTTTGAACACGTTCTCGCCTCAGTAAAGCCTGTCCATCTGACTGTCTTCGTTGCCTTCTGATTTTGGAATCTTCGAGCTCTTGACGATACCCTTTCAACAAGTGGTGACCCCAACGTGATTACAAACAGGCAATCTTCAATTTCATGACGTCTCTGGTTAGGACGCCTATGACGCATGTCGCATTCAGTCTGCCTCACGCTCTCTGTCAACAGATGGCCTTATCCGTGTAGACTTGATAGCGGCGTGGCGGTAGCTGGGAGCCAATCGGCACTGCGCCTATCGCTGATTGGCTGTGGGCAGTCGAAACCCAACAGTACGGACACGCTTTGCGCCGGGGGGCTACAACCTCCACGGCTCTAATTTACCTGATGAGGAAATTTGCAGACATTGCCTGCTCTGCTCCATGCACATGCCCTCACCTCATTAAAGCTTCTCCATCTAACTGCCTACCCCGTCTTTTGGCTGGGAAACCTTCGAGTTGCCGACATTCTTTCAGTAACCCCTGCTTGTTCGGAAATAGTTATCCTCGAGCATATGGCTGACTGGTTTCGACGATCAGAGTTGCCTTCGTAGGATCGGCATGTTGCCTCTTGTGCTCAATTATGGCGAGCCCATGAAATGGCTTTAGACTTCTGTCTGAAATCGTGCGTTGTGAACCAAGTGATAACAATCACAAAAAGACGAGATTCACTCTTGTCGCCTATGTTTTGAAACGCTGTATTTTCCCGTTTACCGTTTGATTGTCCGCCGATGAACACACCAAAACCACAGCACATCATTGGATTCATCTTCTAGGGTAAATATGGCATTGTGAATTATACAGGACCTGGAGTTTTCCCAGTTATATTTCCTAGCAGAAGAAAACTGGGCAGGGAACATAACGTAATAAAGCAGTTCGCTAAGGTTCCAGAAAAACACCGATCTTTAGATTGTTTTAGAGTTGCGAAAATTCGCACGGCCGTGTTCAGAAGATTGCTTACCGAGCATACGTTTGATTTAAATAAATTCTGGTCAGGCCAGTACACTTATAGGGGAACGCGGTCATGTGAAACAGGTCAGTGATTAGAGAAATCGATTAAAGTCCGTCTTAAAACACAGGCGAGGTGTGAGAATATGCGGAGGAGTAATAAGAGTCATGCCAAGGCTGGGGTGAAAGCGAAAGGGTGCGGAGAGTCACGCGCAGTTAGTCAACTTTTGACCACGGTAAGCGTGGAGTCTGAACGAGGTTCTTCTGCGCACACATGACCGCTTCTGATAACAGATGCTGGCACAGTAACTTGGGGTACCTCGATGGGACCTTATCAATCATGCGAAAATCTCTGCTGAGGTCCACACGATGCTCGGAATCGACGTGTGCGAGAATGGTGCTGTCTATTCTCCTAGTTTCACCTTTTCCCAGCCTTGCCGAGGGGTGTTCTCGTATTCTTTCGTATAGGCGCCGACTCGAGCGACCAATATAACCTGTTCCACAGGAGCGAACGAAGGGGTAGATACACGTTGAGGTGGTCTGAGCTGGCAACTTATACTTACCCTATCCGCTTAAAAGAGGATTAGTATGGAATACTATTCTTATTATCACCCCCCTCCCGTCTTCCCGTATTCTCACATCCTATCTGCGTTTTAAGACAAAGTTTCATCGATTTCTCTAACCACCGACATATTTCACTTGTTCGCGTTCCCTTATAAATGTACTGGCCTGACGAGTATTTATCGAAATCGAACGCATGCCCAGACTTTCTGTAACACACTTTTCATAAATTAGAACTCGTAGGATTTACCCTGTTTCTTTAGTTTGTATCTTCATAGAAAATTATGAAAGTTCGTTTACAAAACACAAAATTCGCATCAACTTCAAATGACTTCTGTCTAATTGGACTTGGCTCAATTGTGAGTGACCGTGGTAGATCGTCAGTCCTGAGAGCCCAAGCATTGCTCAACAATTCAGGCGGATTTTACACCCCGAAAGAGAACGAAAATATTCAAACTGCCCTTGCGAAGGTAGTCGACAGTCGCATACAGTTAAGTACCAGTTCGGAACCAGTTTCAAACGAGGACCTGGATTGTGTAGTGCATTCTTTATGTCACCGCGATTAAGTACGGTCAAAACATGGACTTGAGCTTATGGTCAGGGATTAGCTGTTTGTCCAAAGGTAGAATGAGCAGATAATCTCTTTTATTACCGACCCCCATGACGATAGTTTCCAACCTGACCTATTTAGCGCTTTCAGGCAGAATCGTACTATATAAGAGTTGACTAGGCTCACCGTGGCTGCCTAATTAAAAATTTCGTGTGATTTCAGTATCTAGAAATACGCCAATGCAAATGTGGACAATCCTCACTAGATTCCATAGCTCTTACGACTGTGATCATGTCTAATCTAGCCGAGCTCGGTAATTTCGAGGACTGTACCACTGCAGACGCGACGATCTGTAAAGCTCTACTCATTTTCACAGCTATAGTCAAAATGGACAGGTTATGTCGTAATTCTGACTCATAAGTTGAGTGCACACACCGAGTTATCATAAACACCCGCGTGTGTTTGTGAATGCGCGCGAGCTAGGTCTCTCCGCGAATGTTTGTCCATCGATCAGGTTGATAACTGTGGGTAACTTGAGTACCGACTATTCCAACGTGGATCGATAATGGACAGACCGCTTTTTAGGCCCATACACTCTGCCAGTCCTCAGCGTCTTGCTGTTAAGACTCAGAAATGGGAACCTCCCCCGTTAATACAGGTGGTTTTGCGCAAAATTCCAGGAAGGGTGTCTATTTTCGTGTCCCAACCCTAACCCTCAGCGTCTCGAATAGCCGTAGCAGTGCGTCAGCCTACTGAGATTTAGAGGTGTGTTGGCAGATTTCAAATAATTTACTTTGACCCGGCTGGGCCTCGCAGCTCAGATGGTTAGAGCATTGGCTGTACTTAAGCCTTCCTTTGCTGTCGTGGGCTCGAATCCCACCGAGATACCGAGTTTTTCACAGTTGGGTCAAAGTAAATTATTTGAAAACACAGAGGTGTTTTGGCAGATTTCAAACAATTAACCTTGACCCAACTGTGAAAAATTCGGTACCTCGGTGGAATTCGAGCCCACGACAGCAAGGGAAGGCTTTAGTACAGCCAACGCTCTAGCCGCCTGAAATCTGCCAAAATACCTCTGAGCTACGTGAGCCTCGCAGTCATCTAGTGGATTCTAGATGCATTACTTAGGAAATCCTGCTTGGGCAGTCAGCTTACTGCATCAGATTTGGTGGACTCCAGACGTTGCAGTAGGTCGGGCGGGCAAACTTAATCCAAATGTGATTAAACTCGTGTCGTCCGGTAGGGCCTCACAGCTCAGATGGTTAGAGCATTGGCTGTACTAAAGCCTCACCTTGCTGTAATGGGTACGAATCCCACCGGGTCGCCACGTTTTTCACAGTTGGGTCAAAGTGAACTTACTGAGATGCAAATGGACAGATAAAAACCGACAGGGAGTAAAGTGTAATGAACTACTGGATCAAAGACAACACGACTACTTAGGTTTAATTAGCCGTAGTTGTGACGTACACCGGTCGGCTGCCTGAACCTAGCTGCAAAAATGGTCCTAGAATTGACCGCGGTTAGCTGCCTGGTCAGCAGACAGACAGTTGCTCAGATGCTAAAGCCCTGCCATACAGGAGCGGCGTTCAGAGATATGTCTTAACCAAAGAACAGAAATGCGTGCTTCCATATCGTTTTGGGAAATAATGGGAGACTACGATGCATAGCCACCAGCCCCACCACAGTGTTCCGCCGGACCTCCTCACCAGCGAAGTCTCTATTTTAGCAGACTTTGCTCGCTCTATTTGCAGATATCGTTGATTTTTCATCGGCCCGGTCGGACAGAGGTCAGTCGATGACTTAGTTGGACAGTCTTTACTGAAGAGAGCGGCGGCAACAACTTTTTTTCTTTATCAGACCGAGAGTCAGTCGTTGGTGTTCTCAGCCGCGGCGCGGGACGTATGCAAGCGCCTGGTCTACGTGGTGGTGGTTCTCAGGCGACTGTGGCATGTGTTGCAGTCAACCATGAGCATGGAAGCCGGCCATAACGTTGGCAGATGGTCTGCGCGGTTTTTTGAAGAATACACGGCAAAATTCGTGCACGCAGGAGCGCTCACAAGTCATCTGCCGCAGGTGGGCTAACTCATGAAATATTAGCCTAAATTCCAAAATGCGTTTTCGTTTCGGAAAGAGTAATTAAACAGGGTTGTAAAACCAATCATCGTGCAGCATAATTCTATAATAATTCAGTTACCCCCAGGATGCCAGCTTTCGAACGAACTTCTTTCCGGCTGCATGCAAAAATTATACTCTGTAAAAAATGATTACTTATTTGGCGTGAATTTTTCTCATGGATGTTCGATGCCCTTAAATATTCAACTATTTTTCATAGAAAACATGTATGAAAATACTCATTCCCTTGCTCATTCGGTAGAAAATTACGTCTTCTCCAGGTTTTATACTCGAAGGAAAGGTATAATTAGATATTAAGAAAGTTTCTTATTGTAAGATTTTTTTAATACCGTGAAATAGTCGTCCATAAAACGTCATGTCTCTGCACTTACCAATGTGGCCTGTAAAATTAACAACATGGCTGAAATCCAATGCTAAATTTTACGAACCCCATATGATCTCCTCTTAATACCATAGAGAAATGTATGGTTTTCCGCAAGCGAAAAATATACGGCTCTTAGTTTGGAAACCCTTAATGCAAGTGTAACAGCAGGCCTGGTGCAAAATTAATTGGGAATTGGGAGAGTTTTTAAAAACCGAATTATACACTCCTTTTGAGTATGAGATTGGTAGAAGACGTCATTTTCTACCGAATGAGCAAGAGAATGAATATTTTTGCACGCTATTTAAGTAGTCATTTTTACAGAGTATAATGTTTGCATTCAGCCGGAAAAAATTTCGTTCGAAAGCCTGAGGGAACTCAATTATTATATAAATAAGCTGCTAGATGACCAGTTCTACAACCCTACTAAATTAACCTTTTCAAGATGAAAACGCATTTCGGAATTTCGGTTAACATTTTAAGAGCTAGCCCACCTATTGTACTTTTTCAAACGCCTCTCCTCGGCTCGAAATGAGTACTAACCAGTTAACTTTTGTGAAGAATGAGCACAGCAATTGGAAGTTAGGAAACATTTGCAAGTGCTTTCGGCTTTTAACTACTCAAAATGTAATTTTTGAACCCATACTTCTTCTATAGATTTTGGACGTTCATTCCCGACCCAAACCCCATCGCCATCACGAATACTACTGTTTTTAAGGGAATTCATATCTCTGTACGGGATCCTCACGCAAACATTAAACGCCAGCTACAGTTTAGCTGATCCCTTGACTACTGAAAGACTACGGACAACGCACACTAGTGAGAGTTACCGAGATCAGTGGAACCGGTAGGAGTCATTTCCAACCGAACAATAACGACAAGCATCAGCAAACTGGGCTTCTAGTCAACCGTCTTCTAATCCCAAACCTTTTAAAATAGCCGCCAACGAGACCACATTCGAATGAGCACGCTACCACACGCACCTAGTGCCTCTTCTAGTCAATAGCGGAATCCAAAAGGCCGCGTCTTACAACCTAACCAAAGCATTTTACACTGTCCTTACCCGCATCGAAGATGCCGCTCCGTTTGGCATGTTACTTGGGGTATTGGTAAGACACGGAGATAAGAACCCTCCCGATTATTAAAGGCGGTGGACCAACTGCGCCAGGTGCGTCTGCGCGCATGTTTGTGTTTCTGGTCCCAACTGCTGGTGGTCAGGGTTATGATTATCTGAATGAAGGCAGAATAAGCCCGAAACAGTGCTGTATCAATCTACCCGCATTCTCTGTCATCCCTCCTCGCTGCTATTAGGACTTGGCCGACTTCGGCCTGGTAATTGGTTGCCTGTTCGTGACCTTTGCCACACATACGGAGCTTGTTTGCTTTGTGAAGCCAATAGATCGGTGTACGCCCATTCCTGATTGAGAAATACCCGATCTGCAGCGACAGAAAATGACAGGTGGCGAGGCACTGATGAACTTCGGTTCGATGAAGTGCTTATGACCCATCTGGTAGGCCTCAGTGGTGGACCGACTGCACCAGGTGCGTCTGCGCGCATGTTTGTGTTTCTGGTCCCAACTGCTGGTGGTCAGGGTTATGATTGGCTGAATGAAGGCAGAATAAGCCCGAAACAGTGCTGTATCAATCTACCCGCATTCTCTGTCGTCCCTCCTCGCTACTATTATGACTTGGCCGACTTCGGCCTGGTAATTGGTTGCCTGTTCGTGACCTTTGCCACACATACGGAGCTTGTTTGCTTTGTGAAGCCAATAGATCGGTGTACGCCCTTTCCTGATTGATATATATACCTAGACGTTCAGGTAACGAGGCAAGAAGACGGAACCCTCTAGGCTGGTGTCTTTCGAAAAGCGACAAACAGGGAGAAAATTCTTCACTACAACAGGAACCAACCCCTGTCGCATAAACGCAGCTGCGTCCGGACGCTTTCTCGCCGCATCAACACACACTGCAGCACAGAAGCCGAGAAGCTGCGGGAGCGTGAGACCCTATGGCACCTCTTCCTCGCCAATGGATATCCGGGAAGTTTTGTAAACAAATGCTTATACCAAAGACATGAAAACACGCAAAGACCTGAAATCTTCCGCGCTCCGCCTTAAGTTAGAAACGTCTCCGAATCCACTGAGCGCATGCTAAGGCCACTAAGCGTGGGCGTTGGACACCGACCGGAGGCCACCATCCGCCGCTTACTCATGCAACCCAAGGGCCGGCTACCACCTGCACACACGTCAGGCGTCCTTTACCGCGTCAAATGTCTATACTGTCTGGACAACTTCTGCGACATGACGGACAAACGACTGCGCACGCGCGTGCATGAGCACGCCTTAGCCGTAAAGCGAAAGGATGTACGCTCGCACGTCGCCATGCGCAGTCTAGAAAATAATCACGTGTTCGACTTTGACGGTGCCCAAGTGCTCGGCCGAGCCCAAAGCAAGCTGGCGAGAGAAGTAATCGAAGCCTGGCAATCAGACGCCAACTCTATCAATCGCAATATTGACCTACCAACGCCATACGAGGCCATCAGGCGCCACTTGCGCGCGCGAGAGGGCCAATAAGAGGAGAGCGGAATCGACCTATCAGGCGCGAGCGCAAATGGCCTATTTAGACCATGTATTTCTCATTTGGCCCGTCTCCGATGATGTGCTCGAGTACGAGTGCGAAACGTCCGACGAATAAACCTTCTCCCCCAGAGATCACCTCATCTTGCTTGAAAGCAGACGTATGTTCGCCAAATTTCCTTTTGAATGTATAAGAGAAAAATTTAGGCCACATAGGTGACCACTTTTACAGATGCTTTTGCAGGCGGCTGGAACGAGGCTCGTTAGAAGCCCGGGAACCTGACATGATCCAAACATCTTAGGATTGTACTGCACGATAGCTAATGTTACAATCTTTCGTGGGCAATCTTCTCGAATCGAAAACACAGTTCTGGATTTCGATCAATATTTGATTAGATAGCAGATCTACCCCGAAAACCACGGAAACTCAAAGCCCCAAAGAATCCTGCCAAGTCGTGTTTTAAAAACCGGCGGCGGAAACACTTCAACTCAAAACTAATCGCCAAGATTCATTGCTGGTATATGCAGCGTGCAGTCCACACCGCCCGTTACAGCCACACCAATCTCAAAATGTTCGGAAAAAAACCCATCCCCGAAAGTTTTTTTTTCATTCAAGCGGCATTAAACTCGCATTTGTAGAGTAAGAAGGCGCAGCCGTTGGCTAAAATGCAGCGAAAATGCAACCGCATGGATATGTTTATACTTTAAAAACCAGCCCGTGCAGGAAAGCTAGGGGGGACACAACAAAATCGATAACAAAGTGCAGAACACTAAAAGGCCCAAGAGCGGACATGTGAGCGGAGAGATGGAAGAAGGGGGTGGAGATGGAGGGGAGGGCAGCGGGGAGGGGGCGAGGGAGCAAGCGCCCAACACGGGTCTAGGTAAGTGCGCAACTGCATCCCCAAACAGCGCACCGAGGAAGCGAAATTGCCGCGTTAAACAGGCGAAAGAAAGCGAAGTGGCGCGAGACAGGCAATCAAAGACTAGGAGTCCTTTTTAGCTTCGATCTCAGGTTTGCGCGGGAAGAGTCGCTTCACTAGAGGGCGCCCCAGCGGCCAGAGGAGATAAATGAATCCGACAAAGTAGACAGATGACAGCACCTAGAAGTGGAAAGGAGAAAGCAAGAGGGGAGGGGGGAAAGTCAACCTCAAGCCTGGCAGATCAAATAACTATGTGAGGGGCAGGGCACAGGGTATCTTTCGGGCGGCCAAGGATGACTGTGCTGGTGATTTTGACCACAAATCAAGTATATGGCCACCAACATCGGGGCGACACTCCTATGTCTCACCTAAATGGGACGAAGGTGTGTCAGGTGTGTGACGGAGGCTTTATGCTGCTGCTGCTGCTGAACCGACTTTTGACCGGCTTGAATCGGAATTGTCACTGATACACGATGAGAGAGGAAAGCGAGTAAGTTCAACCACGCGTGATCTTTCCTGTCTATCGTAAATCCGACAGGCATTTTAACAACCCCAGCCTGCAGAGCCACGCCTTGGAAGATCGTCAATCGGTGGGGTGACTCGGGTCTCCGGGCCGGAGTTCGAGGTTGCAGTCGTTCTCAGTGCGGTCTTGGGGCAAGATCCGGGCTAGCGAATACAGCACACAGATGAAATTCACCCCAAGTCGCTCATTGTGTTCAAACGAATCCCAGGTCGCCCAGAAGTTGTCTTGCCACCAGAACGCACTCGGTGTGGTTAGGCAAATGCAGCGCGAGTCTGCCTCCCTAAACAAATTCACGCAGAAGTTGCTGGGTTTGCGCCCATCCCTCTTCTTCGGGGAGGGGGGAACACATGACGGTCCCCGCCGCTTGCGACGTACGAACTTATTGATCGTGAGTGGACGACGGTCCGACCGTCGATCCCGACGATGTCTACTGTGTGCTCCACACCAAGGTGCAGTAGACACGGTGACTTGCGCACAAATTAGTTTATAGTAATAACAGACTTACGTAGCATCTACCGCGCTCTCTCCTCCCCACGCCCCATCTGGACCCGGTGTCAAGACAGAGTCAAGAAGACCGGAGGCGGGGGAGGGCGCAAGTGGCTGGCGCGGCCAGACCCGCACCTAGACGTACCATCACATCCCCTGGTCCATAACATAAACTTCACTAGGGTTTTTCACCAACAACAGCAACAACACCCCAACGAGGGTCAGAAGGACGAGGGTGATGACTGGGCAGCCATGCCCACCACCTGTATACCCAGCGGGAGCGCAAGCGCATCTACCGGCAGGGAACCAGGTGTCAGGGAACTGCCAGCGCATACCAGGCTGCGAGGGCCGTGGTTTGCTGATACTGGCATAGCAACACGCTTTCAGATCCTTTGACCTTCTGGGGGGGGGGAGGGGGGGGCACACGCACAAAGAATTCAGGACTAGGAACGTACAGGGATCCAAAGGTTTGCACGCAGGAGGGCGAAGGCAACCATTGGACAGCCGAGGAGGAACAACACGTGCAGCTTGCCCACAATTGACGTCAGGATCTGGCCAGGAAGAGTCTTATATAGAAAATCCGTGTAGATGGAATGCCGTACGATGTAGAGGAGCTAAATGAAGGTGAGAAGGGGCGTGGTGATGTTCAGAAGAAAAGTCCAAGAAAATAAATAATTTCAAGGGAGATGGGCACAGTAGGACGATGAGTACATACAATTACTTGACCTCGTCGCCTGTGCGTTCTCCGGCCCCACCTGTAAAACCCCTAGTACCACCGGTCCCGCTTTACAGGTGGCTGGGGTTTGTTTACTCCAGGTGCTGCTACATAGCCATATCTGACTGACTATGGGACCGTGGTCATTGCAGTGAAGGCTCACATCTTACACCCGACTAGAAAGTCTGACGACAGCAATGTAGACAGGATATCAGTTTAAATTTCGCATTTGGGGATAGAGAAGCACACAAATACCAGATCCCCGAACCCTAGTAACCGGGCCTGTTCTGCAACCGCGACTTCCGACCAATGGGACAACTTCCACACACAAACATCCCATCCGGATCACTGTGTAACGGAAAGTAAACATGCATTGCGGTAAATGGCATTAATGGGGGGGAGCGTGAGGGCCTTCCCTGCGTTCAGAGCATAGAACACTGACACAATGCAATGCGGACGTCGCCTGATTTTCCCAGGCTCACTTGTTAGCTCCTGGTTGGCACGGCACGAAGGTGCGGGCGCTTTACCGCAGCAAAGGTTGGTCGAGAGATATGGAAGCTCTTGAGTCCAAGGAAAAAGAAAGTGCGGACGACGCAACGGTAGCACGCTAGGCTCTGGCTAGGTGCTGATCTGGAAGATTAATTATCTCCAAAAGTATAAGGGTATTGAGACGTGGCCAACGTTGTTCGTCCCCAAATAAGACTTCACTCGATGCTGTCTGCAAAAATCTCGGAACCCAAAACAGGCATGCGGATGGAGATGTCTATTTTCAAATCCACCGACCATAGGATATGATCCTTCAAGTAAGCTCTCTCATTAAACAGCTGTTCGGTGAGCTACGACTTAATTGGGTTTCGAAAAGCCTAAGAGTTATGGTTCGCACGCTCTGTTTCAGCTTGACAAAAGCCAGCGGCGCTGGGAGGGACGACTTTCCGGCCCAAATCAGCAGTTTTTGTCTTGCAGGTACAGTTTCCGGCAACGATCGAGTGAAGGAGCTGAGGTCGTTGTAGATAATGCACCAGACCGTCTACAACAGACGACTCAACCTTATACGATGAAACACCATACGAAATGATCGTGTCGGACCAAAACCCACTTAAATAAGTATAGTAGGTATTTTTTGTATGCGACAGATGCTTGGGGTCCGTCACCCGATCTTTACCCAGTTTCCTATCAAGAAGCAACGTCAATTGCAACAACAGACCTACATGCGAGTCACACTGACGACTGCTCAACATGGTGCAGGCGGTCCGAGTAATAGGACCGAAGTGCGAAAAAAGGGTGTCAGAGAAGATTGCAGTTGCTGTCATGCACGACTTGGTGAGAGATCCTGATGAAATGCAAACGGGTGTGTCCTTGCATCCAATCTTGCCGCTGCGATGGTTTTAGCGAAAACTACGATGCGTAAATGTGGCGAGTCTTCGGTCACTGAGCAACGTAAAATCATCATACGACTTCCAACCTTGGCAGCACTGAACGGCCTGGCCCTAGCAACTGTCTGTTCACAATACTACAAGACATGTTTCATCACGTAGTACGCAAGCGATGGCCTCAATAAAAGCAGCATGGATTGGATACTCAAGCAGGCATGATGACCTAACTTTACTATAGATTCCTGTGGTGGTGGTGGTGGTGGTGGTGGTGGTGGTGG